TTATTATTATTATTATTATTATTGTTATTACTATTCTTATTACAACGATAATTGTTTATAAGATTTTAAAATTTTTTTACTATACTATTAAAATTATTTACTAATTGTTTCTAAAGAAAATTGTTTCATGAAATACAAAATTAAAATAATCATAATAATAATAATAATAATAATAATAATAATAATAATAATAATATCATTCATAAAACTTAATTAAGTGTAATTATGTATTTATAAAACCTCATTCATTTTCCCTCCAAAAGAAGTTACAAAATATGTCATTCATATTTTGCCTTTCACATTAATACACTCTTTTAAGTGTAATCATGTATTTTTTTGATATTATATTATATAATAGTTAATGCTATTAGCAACTCATAATATTTCACACTAAATATAAATTACATAAGTATAAACAATTTTATTGTTTCAAGATATTATTATTATTATTATTATTATTATTATTATTATTATTATTATTATTATAGTAGCTAATGCTATTTGTTTGCTATTATATTTATAATAGTTAATATTAATTTTTTTTACATGATTACACTTAATAGGGTGTATTAATGTGAAAGGCAAAATATGAATGACAAATTTTGTAACTTCTTTTGGAGGGAAAATAAATGAGGTTTTATTTAATGATTAGCTAGCAATTATATATATATATAGATGTTACATTTTCAAAAATTAATATAATTAAATTGTATTACATAGTGAATCCATATTTTTAATTTATAAATATTATTTAATAACACTTTTTTAATTTATAAATATTAATGAATATCTTTTAACTGTACACTATATATAACTCGTATTATTAGTTATAGGGAAGAGATCATATGAGAATGGTTCTTAATGAAAGAAATAAGAATGATTATGTACCATTGGATCAATTATATCAATGGACTTCATTAAGTCAAAATTAAGTTAATAGGTCAAATTTGTAATGGCAAAACTGTAATCATTGTAATATATCATGAGCAAATAAATAGGTATAAGGGTAGTAGTGTAATTTCAAAGAATAACAATCTTTGTGGTCTCACCCAGATTTATTGCCCGTAACTCTCTCTTATCTCCTATCTCTCTCCCTACTCTCTCTATCACGCACAAACACACACCAAAGGTACGTATCTGTTCGTCCACCTTCTGCGTGTCTGCCGGAGATGCATCCTGCCACCAATAGCCGCCGTCCGCTGCCGCCCGACGCTGCCTTCTACCGCCGTCGTACCTCTCTCTCGCCATCTCACCATCTCTTGCACAGAAGATCCATGTCGGCCCCAAATTCTGGTGTCATCTTCACATTTTCTCCCCGCGTCGGCATCACCCTCCCATCGCGCCGTCAGTCCGCGACAGTCGCCGTAGCCTTCTCTCCTCTACAGATTTCCGTGTTTCACATAAGAGCACCCACCGAAGCTCCAGCCATCTCAGTCGCCGTCGACCACCGTGTCAAGATGTCCAACAGGACCATCTCCGTCGCCGCCTCGTTCACCGTCATATCCTGTGCTAGCCGGGCCACCACCGTCTGAGCTCTTCGCCGGAATTTAAATATTCCCTGAAATTGCTGAAAACCTGTGGCAGGAAAGACTCGAGGGGTAGGGATTGAGTAGCGACATGACGGCGTGGTCGTGGCTATGGAGATGGCGAAGGACCGGCGGGACTGCGGCGAACAGAATCGGCTTCGCCGGTGGTGGGTTGGGGCTGGAGATTTTTTTTTGGGTTTGGGGACTTCCAGTTGAAAATTTGATAAGTTATGGGGACCTATATGCAATTTTGTAACTTTTATTATATTATGATTTAGTCTTTGTGGCAAATCTGTAAATTATTAAAAGTTTTATATATATACATCACAATAATAAATAAAATGCAAATAATGTGTATCTTGGTATACATTAAGGTGAAACGCATCAAACACTATTGTGCACGATTTCCGTCACTATTGTGCAGTCTGAACGGAACGAACTTTTATCCCATACTAATTTAAACTGGATCAAATTAATTAGTTAATTTGATCGGTTAATCGAAGTAGCCGAAATAAGTGACTTTAAATATTATCTTTATGTAAAATATTATTTAGTAGTCTAATATTATTTTTTCTAACATTTTCTATTAAAAAAAATAATATTTTTGTATAAAACATTTAAGGAAAATATATTTTTTATAATTTGGTCGGTCCGATTATTTATGCTATTTTAAAATAAATTTGACATTAAATATAAATGAACTGATACTTGAAAGGCCAAAAAAAAAAAAAAAAATATAATTGAATTTACATGTAAAATTCGAACAAAAAAACTTAGTTCGGTCGGGTTCAGTCGATATAGTGCAATTTCGAAATTAATAATGTGCAATCCGTATAACATCAATGTGCAATCGATCGAACATTTAGTTGAGATAATTAACATTTATTTTAAAAATAAAAATAAAGTTGTTACAAAAGTGAACTACCGATATTACGTTGATATATTTTTTAGAATTATATGTCGTGATATTTTGGCGGTTATTATCGGCGTTTAATTGTGGATTGACACGATAAAGTGCAACGTGATATTTTATAAAGTGCAACACATTGTTTTATAAAGTGCAACGTGACGATGTGTAAATAAAAACTATTGTAAGTTGGTATTTTAGCACGCTTCGGGGTGATTTATTGAGAAATAGACTAAAATATTATTTGAATGATTATCATAATGAAAGCGTGTTGTTTTATAAGGTACATGAAATGTTAAAAAAGTGCAACATATTGTCGTATAAAGTGCAACGTACTGATATATAAAGTGCAAAACTTAAATATTGGTATGTTAGAATATATGTTTTTTTTTATGGACAAATTATAGATATTAAATTATTATGTTGATCAGTTTATTAGATTTATATTGCGTAATATTTTTTACGGGAGATGTTGACATTAATTGTGGAGGGTGGTAACAAAGTGCAACGAGTTGTTTTATAAAGTGCAACATGTTGCTTTATAAAGTGCAACATTCCGCTTCATAAAGTGCACTAATTTATACATTCCCAAATAAATTGTGTATTTGAATACTAGATATAATCGTACATTGAATTAACCTAAATAATTAAAATATATATTTTATTTATTAATTTTCATTACATAATTTATTTATTATTCTAAATTATTTTTATATTATTTTAGTATTTTATACTAATTTTATTTAATACTCTATTTATTATTTATCATATGCATAACAATAGATATAAATAAATAATATATATATATATATATATATTAACTTTCAATAATTACAGATTTGACCCAGGGGTAAAATTGAAATAAAACTATAATTATCAAAATTTGAAATAGGTCCCTAAAATTAACCCAATTCTCAAAAATAAGTCCCAATCACACAGTGCAATTTCACCCATTTTTTCCGGCAGGACTCAGCTCGTGCAAGCACATGAGAGGACCCTCCGACGACGTCGGACTGGAGGAGCTTCCCGTCGACGCTGGACCTGAGGAGCTTCCCGTCGACGCCAGACCTGAGGAGCCGTCCGTCGACGACGATGGACATGGCGAGCTCACCGTCGACACAGGTGAGACCCTGCGTAGCTCGCGTCGGGCTCGCCATGATCTCGGACCTCTGGCGAAGTACGCCATTCAGTAAATCGACGTGTCTAATGGTTGGTTATGGCGGTTGCTGTAGCTGTTCACGGGCGACGGGACGTCCACGACGGTGGCTGTGGTTGTTGTGTGGCGGCGCGATGTCTACGGTGGTGGCGGTGGTCGGCGACGAGGTGGGCGGTGGTCGGAGGTGTCTCGGCCGTGTGCGTGAGTATTGCATGCTTGTGTCTGTCTGTGTGAGTATTGTGTGTGTGTCTGTGTCTGTGTGAGTAGTGTGCGTGTGCGTGTGTGTGAGAGAGAGAAAGAGAGATAAGATGTGCTGTGTGTGCGCATGTGTTATCTCTGTGTGTGTGGCGTGTGTATGCATGTGTTGGGTGTGTGTAGATGATGATGTGGCTTGATGATGTGGTGATGAGTGTAATATTAATTACCAAAATATCCTTAATGAAGGTATAATTTTAGTTTTTTGTTAGCCATTAAATCATCCGATCTAGTGGCTACGTTTTATTCTCAATTCTCTCACTAGAAATCATTCTCACGAGAACCCAACCCATTAGTTATATATATACAAGAGATTATAATTTCCTTTGATAGGTTAAATTCTCTAGCAAAATAAAACCAATTTGGAAATTGAATATGTAAAATTGAATTAATAAATTTGCAGTATATTATTTCCTCCGTTTCAGCTCTCACTCTCCTACTTTTTTTCTTTCTCTAATCTCTATCGATTACTCCAACAAGTTCCTTCATTTTTTCTCATAAGGTCTGTTCCCTGATCTGAGATGCACCAATTTCATTTCTATTTTTTGATTTTTGATTGTATTTTTACTTGGTTCTTGATTCATTTTTTTTTTTTTTTTTTTTTTTTTTT